TCCCTTTATCCCAGAATCCCGCGGGATTTGGGGTCAGCGCTGCCTGAGGGATTTCAGGCCCAGCCCCGCAGGAAATTGCCAGAATTCCTTGGAATTCCTTGGAATTCTGGGAGCCGCCTCCATGGAATCCCCAAGAATGAAATCCCAAAAGCTTTCCAGAGGCGGGGAAAAATCCATCAGCGGCGACCATTCCCAAAAAATCCCATCAAGGGGATCCAGGATTCCCGGGCTAGGTGGGGGTGGGGCTGAAATTCCCGGGAATTCCGGCCGATCCCGACGATTCCCGCAGATCCAACCGGGACTGCCAGATCGACCAGCACCACCGGAACCAGTGCCAGTACTGCCGCCTCAAGAAGTGCTTCCGAGTGGGGATGAGGAAGGAAGGTAGGGAAAAAATTCCCAAAAAACCCCGAGCAATCCCGGGAATGATGGGTTTTGGGGGAAAAAACCCGTTTCCCCCTTTTTCTGGGGGAGTTTTGGGGGATTTTCTTGGGGTTTTCTGAACCCACCTGGGGCTGGGAGTGGGGCTGTGGGATGGGGTGGATTCCAGAAAATCCCAGGTTTATCCCAGAAAATCCCAGGTTTATCCCAGAAAATCCCAGGTTTATCCCAAAAAATCCCAGGTTTATCCCAAAAATCATGGGTTTATCCCAGAAATCCAGTGGGATGCATGTAGGATCAGGCTGGAAATCCAGTGGGATGTTTTGGGATCCCAATCAAGATCCAGTGTGATTTTTTGGGATGGGGATAAAAACGCAGTGTGATGTTTTTGGGATTGTGGTGACAATCCAGGGTGATTTTTGGGAATGGCAATGAAAATCCAGTAAGATTTTTTAGGATGGAGATAAAGACCCGGTGTGATTTTTCAGGATGGGGCTAAAAGCCCCGTGTGATTCTTTGGTATTGGGATGAAGATCCAATGGGATTTTTTGGGATGGGGATGAAAATCCATTGACATTTTTTGGGATTGGGATGAAAACCCAGTGGGATTTTTTTGAACGGATGAGAATTCAGTAGGATTTTTTGAGATGGGGATGAAAATCTGGTGGGGTTTTTTTGGACGGCGATGAGAATTCAGTGGGATTTTTTGAGATGGCGATGAAAATCCAGTGGGATTTTTTGGGATAGCGATGAAAGTTCAGTGGGATTTTTTGGGATGGCGATGAAAATCCAGTGGGATTTTTTGGGATAGCGATGAAAGTTCAGTGGGATTTTTTGGGATAGCGATGAAAATCCGGTGGGGTTTTTTTGGATGGCGATGAGAATTCAGTGGGATTTTTTGAGATGGCGATGAAAGTTCAATGGGATTTTTTGGGATAGAGATGAAAGTTCAGTGGGATTTTTTGGGATGGCGATGAAAGTTCAATGGGATTTTTTGGGATGGCGATGAAAATCCAGTAGGATTTTTTGGGATGGCGATGAAAGTTCAATGGGATTTTTTGGGATGGCAATGAAAATCCAGTCGGATTTTTTGGGATAGCGATGAAAGTTCAGTGGGATTTTTTGGGATAGCGATGAAAGTTCAGTGGGATTTTTTGGGATAGCAATGAAAATCTGGTGGGGTTTTTTTGGACGGCGATGAGAATTCAGTAGGATTTTTTGAGATGGGGATGAAAATCTGGTGGGGTTTTTTTGGACGGCGATGAGAATTCAGTGGGATTTTTTGGGATAGAGATGAAAATCCAGTGGGATTTTTTGGGATAGCGATGAAAGTTCAGTGGGATTTTTTGGGATGGCGATGAAAGTTCAGTGGGATTTTTTGGGATGGGGCCAAAGACCCGCGGGATTTGCGGGCTGGCGCCTGAGGCCCTCCTCCTCCTCCTCCCGCAGCCGTGCAGCGAGGCCGCATCCCGCCGAGCCACGCCGGGGGCAGCCCCGGCGCCCTCCCGGCGCCCGGCGACTTCTTCAACGGGCAGCCGGTGTCGGAGCTGATCTCGCAGCTGCTGCGCGCCGAGCCCTACCCGGCGGCGCGCTACGGCGCGCAGTGCGCGCAGCAGCCCGGCGGCGCCGCGGCCATCGACAACATCTGCGAGCTGGCCGCCCGCCTGCTCTTCAGCACCGTGGAGTGGGCGCGCAACATCCCCTTCTTCCCCGAGCTGCCCGTCTCCGACCAGGTGGCCCTGCTGCGCCTGAGCTGGAGCGAGCTCTTCGTGCTCAACGCCGCGCAGTCGGCGCTGCCGCTGCACGCCGCGCCGCTGCTGGCGGCCGCCGGCTTCCACGCCGCGCCCATGGCGGCCGACAGGGTGGTGGCTTTCATGGATCAGATCCGCGTCTTCCAGGAGCAGGTGGAGAAGCTCAACCGCCTGCAGGTGGATTCGGCCGAGTACAGCTGCCTCAAGGCCATCGCGCTCTTCACGCCCGGTGCGCCGCCGGCGTCGCGCGGGACGGGATTTTCCCGAGGGTTGTGGGGTCTGGGATGGGTATGGAGAGGTTTTCCCAAGGGTTGTGGGGTCTGGGATGGGTATGGAGAGGTTTCTCCAAGGGTTTTGGGGTTGGGGATGGGTACAGAGAGGTTTTTCCGTGTTTTTCTGAGGGTTTTTGGGGTTGGGGATGGGTATGAAGAGGTTTTCCCATGTTTTCCCAAGGGATTTTGGGGTTTGGGAAGGGTATGGAGAGGTTTATCCAGGTTTTTCCAAGGGTTTTTGGGGTTGGGGATGGGCGCGGAGAGGTTTCTCCAAGGGTTTTGGGGTCTGGGATGGGTGAATTTTGGTATATTCCCAATGGATTTTGGGGATATTCCCAATTAATTTGGAGACATTGGATTTTGGCATATTCCCTGGGGATATTCCCAGTGGATCCTGTGACATCCATCCCCTACAACTTCCATACTCCATCCCCTACAACTCCCATACTCCATCCCCTACAACTTCCATACTCCATCCCCTACAACTTCCATACTCCATCCCCTACAAATCCTGTACTCCAGCCCCTACAATTCCCATACTTCATCCCCTATACCTCTCCTACTCCGTGCCCTGCACCTCCCCTACTCCGTGCCCTACACCTCCCCTACTCTGTGCCCTACACCTCCCCTAAACCATGCCCTACTCCATGCCCTACTCCGTGCCCTGCACCTGCCCTACTCCGTACCCTATTCCTGCCCTACTCCTCCCCTACTCCATGCCCTGCACCTGCCCTACTCCGTGCCCTGCACCTGCCCTACTCCGTGCCCTGCACCTCCCCTACTCTGTGCCCTACTCCTGCCCTACTCCTCCCCTACTCCTGCCTTGCTCCGTGCCCTACTCCTCCCCTACACCTGCCCTACTCCTGCCCTACTCCTGCCCTACTCCTGCCCTGCTCCGTGCCCTACTCCTCCCCTACTCCTGCCCTACTCCTCCCCTACTCCTCCCCTACTCCATGCCCTACTCCTGCCCTACTCCTCCCCTACACCTGCCCTACACCTGCCCTACTCCTCCCCTACTCCTGCCCTACTCCTCCCCTACACCTG